GCCAGCGACCGGGAGAGAAACGAGGAGAAGCAACGACAATAAAAAAGGGGGAAAATTACCTGAGAAGGACGGGCGGCCAGCGACAGCCGCAAATCCGGCCTTGCCGCCGCCAGAGGAGGCCAAGAACGGCCGGTTGAGGAGAAGCTGCAGGTAGGGTTAGGGAGGAAAGAAAATCGCCTGCGGAGGAAATAGAACACTATGCTAAAGATTTAAATACAGAACATTAGTTTTTGTCTAGGTTTTTAAAATCTAAATAAAATTTGAATACTATGCCACACCCAATCTATGATGCCGACGGGATGCCAATTAATCTCTAGAATTTCATCTCGGCACGACAAATTGTTGAGTTTTTCCGCAAAATTCATACGGAGTTCACTGACTATTCATAGAGGCAAAACCAAATACAATCTTGAAGGCCTTTAGAAAAACATGAGCACTTTTAATAATAAAAAAAAAGAATTCGGCAAAAAAAATCAGAACCCAAACACGAAGAAATGAAACAATTTCTTACCTAATTTGATCGACATTTGCATACGAAGAAGAATTGCCAAAAAAAAAAAAAGAAAAAACCCAATAGTCCTTTTTTTTAAAAAAAAAAACGACGACGTATTGATTGTAGCTGAGAAACGACGTCGTTTTTGTTTAAAGGCGACATGACCTTACAGAAATTCAACGACACTTATCAGGAAAGGAAGCTCTTGATTCTTTTTTTTTTTAATAAATTAAAGTATAGATAAGAATGTCTATGTGTTAGTTGCTTCCCAGCACATATTACTAAGGCCCTGAAAGATGCCCGGAATCTATATCTTCACCCATCAGTGCCAGATTGGTGATATTGGTATGTTGGTAGTAAAGGGAAATGTTCAGTGGCGTATTGCTATGAGTAACTGCTTAATCAGGGTACTAACACGAAGGCGTCGTGGAAAAAGATTTGGAGGCCCGACGTTCCAGAGAAAATTAACTTCTTCTGTTGGCTTCTGGGACATCGTGCGCTTTCTACAAAGGAATTACGCCACCGACGACATGTAGATATAACGGGTGCTTGCACGATTTGCAGAGATGGAATGGAGACCTGGGCGCACATATTATTCGAGTGCCCGTGGACTTTTCAGGTTTGGGCCAGGTTAGTAGATTGCAGTTTTCCCTACAGGCTGGCTTATTCAATTCCCCGTGATAGCCAAGCTCTGGAATTTATCGCTCATGCACCGGCGGGTATGCGATTTGCCCTTTGGTTTATGTGGCGGGAACGTAATAACAGGGTGTTCGAAAATAATCCTAATTCTCCCTTTGTTGTAGTCAAGGAAATTATATCGTTCTTCCAATGGTGGCAGGATACTCGGCTGCGGGCGGATAGGTTCAAGGTTGGGGCTAGTCATGTCAATATGCCGAAAGCTGTTACTTGGAACCCATTTCACTGTACGGTCATGATCTTGCATACTGACGGTTCGTCCATGGGTAATCTGGGTCCATCCGGTTTCGGAGCTGTCTTGCGCAATCACGAGGGGGTGTGGATTGAGGGCATTTCAGGGAATATAGGTATTGCAGACAATACTTTGGCCGAGGTGATCGCAATTCTTGAAGGGTTAGCAGTGGTTCGGAGGTGTACATCTCTTACATGTTACTCGAACTCGCAAGAGGCACTCCGGTTGATTACCACGACATCCGTAACTAATCATGTTATCGGGGGTCTGATCATGAACATTAGGGACAAGATTAGCTCGATCTAGAATATACGGTTCTTCCACCTTTGGAGAGAGGGAAATTCCGTTGCCGATCTTTTGGCGAGGAGAGGAGCCAAGGAGGAAGCTTTCTTCACTACTTGGCCTTTCCCCCCGGTTTGATTTACTCACACCGTTGGCTAAGGACGCATCTATGTTTCCTTACACGCGCTTATAGTCTTTTATTTTTTTTTCTTGTTGTTTTCTTTAGCTCGTATTGGCTTTGCCGTTCTATTCCAAAAAAAAATAATGTTATATTATATTATTTGTATATTTATTGTGTTTATAGATGGATTTTTTAAAATAAACATTCGTATTGAATATCTATTATTATCTTGGAAAATGAAATAAAATTCGAAATTAAATTCAATAGTACTCTAATATAAATATAAACTAGTATCGTGGCACGCGCAAATGCACGAAACTATTAAAAATAAATAAAATAAGAAAACATAATTAGAATAAATAATTTTGATATGCAATTAAAATAGACTACTATATATAATGTTTATATATGTATATTTTATTTCTCAATATATATCAGTATCTTGTGTCTTTTTATTTGTAACTCGAGAAGCAACAATATAAAGTTCAGAATTAAAAGCCTAAAAGTAGATTCCTATATAATATATATATATGTTCTTTAGTTTTTTTTTTTATTATTATTAATGGAACAAATTGACATAGTATTAACGATTTTTTTTTTATATAGTTTTCCATGAATTTAACGATTTTTTTTTAAAACCGTTATTTATTTATTTGTTTTAATGAAATCTTACGATGTGGACCAAAATTTATTGATAAACGAAAAATTGAGTAACTAAATCGATTTAATTGGAACATCATGTACTAAATGCGCAAATATATATAGTTGGGGTATAAGAAAAGTCTCAAATTTATTATCTTAACACATTTTATTAAAGTTTGTTTGAATTTATCATGTAAATTAGATCGTATTTTGACACTTGAATATATTATTTCTGACTTGTCTGGTTTTATAATTTATAATGTAATCTTATTTATTAACTATTATTTTCTATACAAATACTTACAATTTTTTTATTTGTGAACCATTCTTTTATTTGAATAAGTACCATATTATTATCTAGTATCTTCATATTTTTAGGAAGAATTTAAATATAAATTATTATTTAACATACATCATAAATAATTCACCGTGATTCAACATATCATGTACATGTAAAAAAAAAATTACTTTTATATTAATGAATAATCAAAACAGACAAAATATTTTAAAATGTCAATCTATAAATGGTAATAACAAATTTAGGTCCACTTTTACAATTAACCTATTATTAAAAATGAAAAAAAATAATTAACGGAGGTTAAAGCACGTTTAATAAAATAATAAAAAATTAGAACTAACTTTCTATAAATAGTAATACAATGAGAGACCCACTAAAACACTTACTATTTTTAGTAGGTGAGTTGCCTAATTATATAGTAATAGATAATTAAATATTTTTACGGATTTGTTAAAAAAAAAAATTTGAGTACCCCTCGATTTGACCCTACAATCATACATCAAACAATCAAATTTTACATAAAATTTTGATTTGGAAAAAGAGGGAATGTTTTTGAATTTTTCCCCGTGAAATGGCAATAATAAAACCAAGCACGTACGTGGCAAGCTGGCAGCAAGACACGAGTTTCACAGTCACTCGATAAAATGCTAAACAAAAGAAGCAATAAAAAATAATTCAATTTGAAAGCTCGAAGGAATTTTCCAGAAGCAAAATCACCACTTTCACAAAGACCAATCCGTTTTTTTCAGATGAACACTCCGCGATGAACAGTTGAATTAAAACCTCAATTGGATAAAGAAAAGCAGAAGAAACCCTAGCTTTGGCGATCGAATTCTTGCAGTCAAGTGAATAGAATGGAGAAACAAGGAT